ACACACACACACACACACTATCCAGCCATATGAGGCATCGACTCTGTCAACAGTTCTGTCCTGTCTGCAGGGTTTTCTCATTATGACACACAATGGAAAATTAAACATTAAATTACTCTTACTTCAATACAAAATACTTTTACTACATATCGGCGTTTTGTGTGGAGTTTTTAAAATGTGTGTCAAATTTATGAGGAAAAAGTGTTGCAGATGTCACTTATTTTACTATTCAGTTCATATTCTTAGACAAATGTAAAACTGTACAATAATTTATAACAATATTGCAACCGTGTGAGAGCTATTTTGTTGTCTCTGCTCTGTTGATCAGATAAATAAATYCGCCAAGAAAATTGGATTAGAAACATTGTGTATCTGGTCAGGAAGTAGGCAGCAACAAATTATCTGTAAACTCAGTAGGTGTGAGTCAGTGACAGCAAAAGCTGTGTCCCTATTGGGATGCGGCCATATGGTGGTGGTAATGATCTACATTTTGCTTTGGGTACCTGTCATATTGTCCTGTTGTTAACACAGATCTTATGTAAATGTATGCTCAGTGAAGCGCCAAATTTATGTCAAGTTATGACAARCATCCTGATTGGGCCAACTCTGCACCGAGTTTTTCATTCATTAAATGCTTCATCTTGTTGGGAGCTYATGGAGCCTTCCTGTCAGCAGGCGAGATGCAGTGCGCATTTCAGTCCATCACAAATATGAGACAATGATGCGTGTTCAAATTTATATTCCTCCAGTTAATTTGACATTGTGTTTTTAGAATCGTTTTAGAAAACTGAAAAAAAAAGTTGGTTCATGTGCAAGCATTGTWTACGCCAGAATATTCAAATGTGAAGTGTTATGAAGTCATGCCATTCCATTCCTTATTTTGAACAAAAACACCTATTAAAGCTACAGTTTGGATAGTCCAGTGTTGWAATATGTGTTTTGCATAATGTAACTAAAAAAAAGTAAAAAGAAGAACAAAGTAAAGTATTTTGAAGGTATTTTAGAGTTGTCACTTTAATGTTTTCTAATTTTCTCTAACAAAACGCCTTTTAGAGTTCCATATATTTGCAAAACTGCTGCAGAATATCTGCATTTGTTTTTTGGTGCAACTCAAAAGAAGCTAACTAGGCTGTAACCATCCTGATTTTTTTTATTTCTACAAGAAATCTGTAAACATGTAGAAGCAAATAACAAGCTAACTGTTTCACTGGGACTTGATGGGTCAACAACAGTGAAGATGCAGCTCGCATGGGGGAGCTTTGAGTGACAGAGGGACTGGTCACATGGAGTGGCAGTGAGCTAAATGCCACATGAATATGATTGGATGTTACTGCTTGAACAGATGTGTGAGTGCCGGTTATGGTGAAATACAAAGGCAACTTTTAATTAGAGCTTAATTTAATTGGATTGATTCCCAGAAGAAAAAAAAGAACAATGCTGCTTTCAGTAATAACTCAGCAAAACATGTTTAGGAATAAATGTACAGTATGATGTTAAAAGCATTATTATCTTTGTTAAAGGTAATAAAGTTTGAATTGTCTAAAGTGACGTGAAATGTTCAAATTAAGGTATTCGCTAATCTCTGCACATCATTTCCAGACATCCCCTCAGTATTAGAACACTAATTAGAGAGCAATATAGAATCAGCAGAGATTCAATAATTTTTTTTTATAACCCAGTGTAAATAAATCAAAAGGTCACTGWATGAGAGGAAGCTGTGAGCCATGTTTCAGTGAATGGATCCCCACCTCCAACTCTAGACCAATTAAAAATATTTATTAGGTCCTTTGCTTGATTAATCAAGAATTTAGTAATAAAAAGCCTCGCCATCCAACAAGGCTGCTGTAAACACAAACACTGGCTCAGCTTCTGTTAAGTCATCTTGCAGACTGCAGCTGTTTGGCAGTTACAGAAAAAAGGGAGGTTTTTTTGACACAGGAGTCTCCACAGGAGAAATTTTGCTTTGCTAAATCACTTTTTCCAACTTCTGTTCGGATTCTTAAATCATCGCTGGCTTCAGAGGATTAAAGGGAAGCAAACAAGCTTTAAAACTGCTGATACAGTTTTGGCTCTGCATGTAAAATAGCTGTGATCTCCCTCTGCTTTGAAATTAAGTTGCCAAGAAAAGGCAGGTCTTTATAGCGAAGAGGGAGAAAACTTTCACTGGATGTGAAAATCGCTAAACTATTTACCTGTCATGATAAAACCTTTGATATTTCGTTGAATAAGRGCATGGTATTTCTGTTTGTAAATGCCTCTTCCCTACTGTGTGTTTAAAGTATACTGTGCCTACAAAGTTTTGTCATCAGCAGTTACAACCGAGAGGGCAACAGTATTGGCAGTTTCATAGTGCCACCTGATGGAGTAAAAGAAAAACACATGCAGACTAACAGCAGGCAGCTGGGGACTACTTTGCTCGTCTCCAGCTCAGCCTTAATTAGCTGCATGTGCCAGGTCAGTGTAGGAAGAACATGTCAACCCTAATTAACCCTGCATTTAAATAAAGTGCTGCCAAGAACAAGTGTGTTAGAATGAATAAAGCTGTACTGAGTAGCAACAACCTCTTCAGTCAAAACTGAATGTTTTTGTTCAGTTGGCTTGACAAAATATGTAATAATTATGCAAAGGCACTTTTGCATTAATAGTATTTAAAACGGTTCGATAATGAGCACCTCATAGATATTTTTATTTCAGTTTGTTGCACACCAAAAGAAGTACTGAGAAACTATAATTAATCAAAACAAAACCAAAACGCAGGAGTTTTAATGAATAAAATGCATAAACCTAATTTAAAACAGTAAGTTTTTTGTTTATATGTAATTAAAATTCAGGAATTCAGTATTCCAGACTGAATAATAAAAAGTGAAGAACATGACATAAAGAATACATA